ATAAAAGGGAAAGATCTTTTAGGGACGGAGGAAGTATTATATAGCTTTGATTCAAACATAAAATCATTGATATAATTGATACTGTTACAAAATCCATATCATGCAAAGATTTTATTTGGGTGTTTTTTTAATATTAAACAACTCATTTGTAAAAAATAAAATCAACTCTTCATTTATAAAATTTTTAATATTAACTTATTTGAAAAAAAATAAAATCAACTCTTCATTTATAAAATTTTAATATTGTTTTTAAATTATTTAAATGTTATTTTTAACTTAGTAAAATAACTCAAATATATTTATGTAATTTTAGTCAAATGTTATAAATTACTTTCAATTCTTTAGGTATTTATAAATGAGTGTGTGTGTGTGTCAATATGTATGTATGTATATTTATTTATTTATTTAACTTTTAAAATATTTAAACCACTGATTCGATCAATTGAACCACTAATTCAACCAGTGAATTAATGAACTAATACTTTGACCGGTTCGGTGACTAGTTAGGTATTTATTTAAAATTCTACTTTCTATTCGCAATGATTTATTTATAATTAAAAATGCATGACTACTTTTGACTAGATTGTGTATATTTAATTGTTAAGAATAAAATTTATTACTCCGTATTTTACTATAGAAGAATGTTTCTAAATTTACTAATTACTATACATTTCACTATACAAGAATGCCTATATCTATGCATTCACTATAAATAAGTCTTGTCCACAAAAAACATGCATATCAAATACTCGGTAATAAGTTTTCGAGTTTGAAATACCTTCTAGTCTTCTACTCCTTTCATAATATCATCACATAACAACCATGGGAAAAGATATTCTTTTTACTTGTGTAGTTTTGGTTGCTCTGACAGTTGCTTCTGGTATGACATATCTCTCTTTATCTATTTATTTTTTACTTCATTTTGAAAATGAATTGCTTTCGTAGTCTAGAAATGATAATGTTATTATTTATATTCTCTTAAATAACTTTTTTCTTTGTTATTTTTTAATTTGTAGCTGAGAAAATGATACCATTGGTGCATGCTCATGCCAGATTGAGTTCCCGGGAGAATGTGACGTAATTGATCCCACCTTTTGCTTTGTTGCTTGTGCAAAGAAAGTCCCAAATGGCACTCTTAAAAGTGCTAAATGTGTTGAAAAAAGTCCCCAAAATGATTGTATTTGTTTCTACTCTTGTTAATGAAAGCTCAAAGCAATAACAGTTCTTGAATAAACTAGATTTGGAATTCTTTATAATTTTTTCTTTTTGTTGTTTAAAAAATTTGAAGTTGTATTTCTTAAACGTGCCAATTTAGCATTTAAGTTTTTTTAGAATCGAATATTCGAATTCAGATAAAAAGTTGTTGAAAAACAAGTTAAAACCATTGAAATAAATAATTTTAGAATAATTTAATACAATTGATAAAAAAATAATTTTATGCAATCGAGGATCCAATTAATCACCTAAATCTTGATTGAAACTGATTGGATTAAACTCGAGAAATTTCTTTGTTGTCGATTGTCGAGAGTACTTCTTTGGTGCATCTTGAGTGCATTTTATTTTTGTAGACCTTCTCACATAACAAATGTTTATTTTAATTTTTTTTATTTAGAAAAAAATAAATATTTATTTACGTAGTAAAAAAATACTTATTTTGATCCATGGTAGACCTTCAACACAGTCGAAGAAAGGGGGTGCTCTCCGAGTCTTTGTTTTACGGAGTATCTTTTAATTAGTTTTTTTTTGTTTGTGAGTTTTAAGTTGGAAAATTTACCTAAATACTACTAAAACACAATGACTTTTCCAATTTAGTATCATATGTTTTTATTTCACAATGTAGTATCACTCGTCATTGTCCAATGGTCATTGTTCAAGTGAATGTCCACCGTCAGTGGACACTGTTCAAATTAAATGTCCACCACCACTGGACATTGTTCTTGCCACTAAACATAAATCAATTACTATTTAGAGAATAAAAGGGGGTGCTCTAGTATTTAGAAGAAGAAGAAGGAGGAGGAGGAGAAGGAGAAGGAGGAGGAGGAGGAGGAGGAGAAGGAGAAAGAGGAGAAGAAGAAGAAGAAGAAGAGGAAGAAGAAGAAGAAGAATTGAAGAAGAAGAAGAAGAAGAAGAAGAAGGGAGAAAGGCGTAGATCTGAGGGAAGAGGAAAGAAAAAGAACAAGGTTGAGGATGAGAAGAAGAAGACGAAGAGGAAGGGGGAAAAGAGAGAGAGAGAGAAACGAAGAAGAAGGAGAAGAACAAAACCAGGAGAAAAGAAAATGGGGGGAGAGAGAGAGAGAGGATGGCTTTGTTTGGGAACATCACCTTCGATTAGCGTTAGCATTTTAGATAAAATTTTAAAGATGTAGATTAATTCTGAAAACACCAACTCTAAAGGCTACCGTCGGATAGCCTTTTCAAAATGCTAATGCTAATAACTAACGTTGATGCCCAACGGGGTCGATAAGTAGAGAAGAAAAGAGATAAAAGCGGGAGGGGGACAACTAGCCGAGAAAAAAAGGTCAGGGGAGTGGAAGAAAAGGAGGAGAAAAGGAAGGGTATTTTAGAAAGAATTGAGATGAAAAAGTAGAATGAGAAGATTATTTTCGGACGAAGGAAAGAGTAGAATGTGAAGTTTATTCCCGGAGGAAGTATTTTTTTCAAAAGTTTCTTAAGGTTTTCCATTTTTTCTGAAGTTTTTCCAGTTTCTTCTAGTTCTTCCAATTTCTTCCAATTTTTTCCAGTTCTTTCTAGTTTCTTTCAATTCCTTCTAGTTTATTACAGTTTCTTCCAGTTTTTTCAGTTTCTTCCAACATCAATTCTTTTTTCCAGTCCTAAAGAACAAGCTCTAAGATTGATACTGCGTAAAAAATAATATTCCCTTAATTAGTCATAATATTTTTATAACAAATATGGGTTAACGACATACTTCTTTGGCTCATAAATTTTTTTTCAAAGACAAAAGAGGCCCACCTTAAAAATACTCCATATTTCCCCGCTTGGATTTCACTTACGGGTAATTTATCTAAATAGAACTAAAACATAATGACTTTCTCAATATAGAACCATATGTTTTTATTTCCCAATGTAGGATCATTGGTCATTACCTATTAGTCATTATTCAACTAAATGTCCAGTAGCACTTGGACATTATTTTTCTCACTAGTCACTATAAAATCCGAGAATAAAAAAGTTTAAGTCCTACATTGGGAAATGACTTAAAAATAAAGTGTTAAAAAATCACTCAATTGAATGATCAACCTAATAAATATGTAAGAAAACTGTTTTTGGATATAAAAAACGCGTCTTTGTCCATGTTTGAGTCGTTGTGTTATAATCAATTTTTTCAACCGAAAATAATAGAGCTTTAGTTTGCTTCCTAATTATTTACAATAATTCATTTCCACGGATTTTTTAGTTTATAAAAATATTAATTTATAACTACAAATACATGACTAGATTGTGTATATTTAATTGTTAAGAATAAAATTTATTACTCTGTATATTACTATAGAAGAATGTTTCTAAATTTATTATTTTACTACGGAAGAATGCTTTCAAAAAATATTACTATAGTAGAATGTCTATATATATGAATTTCATTATAAATAAGTCTTGTCCACAATTACATGCATATCAAATAAAAAGCAAAGCCTTCGAGTTTGAAATAACCTAACTCATAGTCCTTAGTTCATAATATCATCACATAACAAGCTAGCATGGGGAAAAATATTCTTTTTACTTTTGTAGTTTTGCTTGTTTTTACTATTGCTTCTGGTATGACATGTCTCTCTTTATCTCTTTTTTTCACTCACTAAGAAACTCAATAGAAAGAATGCATTATTTCTATTTTTTTGAATAATTGTTGGCATTGGTTATTTTTTTAGCTGAGAAAATGATGTCATTGGTACATGCTGAAGGATCATGCCAAATTGAGTTTCTAGGAGAATGTGACGTAATTGATCCCACCTTTTGCTTTGTTGCTTGCGCAAAGAAAGTCCCAAATGGTACTCTTAAAAGTGCTAAATGTGTTGAAAAAAGTCCCCAAAATGATTGTATTTGTTTCTACTCTTGTTAATGAAAGCTCAAAGCAATAACAATTCTTGAATAAACTAGATTTGTTGTTTTTAAACATTGAAGTTGTATTTCTTCAACAATTACGATATATGGAGTATGTACTTCGTATAGATAATATAATGATAAGGCAATGTGGTAATGAAATTCAAAACTCAACATATCGGTGTGAAATTTGATTTTTCTTTTAAGTTGCTTTACAAATTTTTTGCAAGAAACTATAATGGATTATAATGACTTTATTGCAATTCTATACGGAGTATGTGTAATTACATTGTTTTTATTAGAGTAAATTTCATAATTAGTTATTTAAAACATGGGATTTTTATTCTTCTTATTCTTCTTCTTCTCAAATCTCAACAAGACCTTTTAATGAAGTAAATTTCATTATTGGACCTTGATAATACGAGTTTTTCTATATTTAATCTTCCATTATTAAATATAATTTTCATGATTCTTGTTTTATAGGTAATTTTTTCACAAATAGTCTTTTTACATTCTGTCACATTGTTGTTACTTTCAAGGCTAAAAGTGTAATTTAACACTTATGTTTAGTGACATACTTAGATATTCTTATGTCTGTTAGACGGAGAATAAAACAATAATGACTACGACTGTGGAGTAGGAGTTCGACAAAAGACAACCTCTATAGACTATGGTTGTAGTAGAAACTAAAAAGTGATTGTAATTCACAAACGACGCATTAGAATAAGCATCTGAAATTGTGAATGACAAGAAAGATACTCCGTATATAATTATTGTGAAATTATATATTTAATCATTGAATTAATACCAAAATGAAAGAAGATAAAAACGGCTATTTATGGAAAGATATTCATAAAAGAAGGACTATTATAGTAATATTTGATAATAACAAATTAAATTGGAAAAAAAATCCCTATTATAAAAAATCAATTATTAAATTTACTCTTTCTTTTAATGTGATATGACTAGATCTATAATAAAATTGGAGAAAAGAGAATACACCATTTCTCTTTTTGAAATTCTTTTGTCTTCCAACCACAACCCTAAACACCAGCGGCCGCTAAACCCACCAAAACGCTCTTCCGTGGCTCATTGGTTTGACCCAGAGGTGCCAAAATTCAGTTCATCTTACTCCCCAGATTCCGGCAAAGAATTTCTAATAATGGGCTACTCAAAGGAGCAACTGTTAACTCGTTTAAAGGTCTGAAGTCGATTTTCTGGTTAGTAAATCTACTAATTTCGATGTTTTAATTGATTCTTATCTTTTGTTTGTTTTTGCGTCTTTAGGAGCTCCACATTGAATTTGAACAATACGAGCACCCTGTTGTAATGACGGTTGAAGCTCTGGTATGTTTAAGGGTTGTTATATAATCCCATTGATTCGCTTCAATTGTTTATGCTGATCTTGGGTATTTTTTTTAAATGTTTTGAATTAGGAAAAACATGTTGGACATTCAAATGGTGCACTGTGTAAAAATCTGTTCTTGAAGGTATGATGCCCACCATTTTTAGCTTTACTTTGGAATTTACTTGATTTTATTGTTGAATTATTTGTTCATTTTCTCCTGCAGGACAAGAAGCATAGATTTTATATTGTTTCTGCACTGGCAGACACCAAAATAGACTTGAAAAGTACGTGTTTTCTTATGGTGTTCTTTCATAACCTGTTTTTAGTTTATGGTTCGGGCTGTAAAAATCATAGTTTTAAATCTATGTTGTATGTTGGTGTTGAAATTGAGCAGTTCTAGCTCAGAGGCTTGGATTTGGGAAAACAGGTTTGAGGATGGCTCCACAAGAATCACTCGCAGATATACTTCAGGTTCCAAATTGCTTTAAATTGCATCATTTTTGCATTCATATGATGCTGAACATACTCACTATGTTAAGTTGTTTTGTTTCTCATTTAATTCATATTTAAATAAGGTGTATTAAGTTTCTCTTGGTGTTCATCTAATACATATTTTTGAACAATGGTGTCATTATTCAATAGTCTACAGTTGATGTCATGCTGCTTTTTGTTGTAGAGTAAACATTTTGAAGTTGTTTTGCAAATATTTTATTTAGCACATTGCCTTTTGGACATGGATTCAAAGCACAATGAAAATCTAGAATTTTAATTTCATATTTTGAGATAAATTACACTTCATTCACTGTAGTTATTTACCATATTTGATTGAAAATATTTGACATCTTTTCTTTGTCTCGGGAAATGAGTATATAGTGAAGTAAAAAAAGTCAATATTGTGTTTGTAATGTTACCAAGTCAAGGAACACCAGAACTATAGTCTTCTTAGCCATACGTGTAATGACGTAGTGTGTGTATTTCAATTTTTTTATTATTCTAAAAACTTTAAAAATTCTTTCCCCATCATAGCAGGCACACAAAAACAAGCATAACTGTGGCAATAAGCCAATAACCTTTCTTTTTTCTTGAATTATAACATTTGCATATCACACTTTCAATTTTATTAATTGAAATTATCATACACTACATCAATGTGGCACTGCTGAAATTCTCCCAAAAGATAGTCACACTTGAGAATTAGTAACCACCAAAATTTCTTGTTAGGTGATTTATTTTTTCGAACGTGAGAGAACATGCCACCTTTTGTTTATAAAAGTCAACTACACTTGTGAGATTTTGGTGGGTGTTGTTGTTGTTGTTGATGCTCATGTTCACCTTACTCATCACCATGTCCTTATTTTCTATTACAAAGGTACCCTTGGGTTGTGTTACCCCATTCTCGCTTTTCAATGAATCAGCCAGGTATGTTTCCAAATTCACAATCATTTGATTTTTTTCTTTTGGTTTATGTTTTCGTGACAAAATATAAATTATTTTAATGGTATTTGTTTTCATTGTTAAGGGGTGTTTCTTTATTGTTAGATCAAGGGCTGAGAATAAAAGAGCAATGCTTATTCCACCCACTCTCTAATGATGTGACAATAGGTAAATTATCTTGTGTAGCTTTAACAAACTACTCCCTTCGTCCTAATATGGAGTTCCTACTTTTCTTTTTGGAACATTTAAAAATAAAATTCTCCTTTCTCTTAGGAAAGTCTTGGATGGTTCACATTATTCCTCTCCTATGTATAAATCTCAACCACACAAATTTCCTTTTTCTTAAACTATGTGAAAAAGCAAACATGAACCTTATTTCAGAACAAAGTACAGTCTATAATTATATAATAAGTGTGTGGGTAGTACATTATTTTTGTTTTATTTTGAGAAGTTGTTTTTGGTATTCTGTTTTAGTAATCTTTAGTTAATATCATGCATTCATTTACAACTTTGAAGTCATGTGTTAATTATGATAGAATATAACTTATTTCCATTTCTATCATATCACTGTTATGCCTATGTTTATTAAGTCTATGTCTTCCCACATTGGACAGTTAGTGCATTTTAAAGCAACTATCTAAAGTTTAAAGAGGCACGGAAAGATAAAAGTGATACTCTCGGCCTCAAATAGATGAAGCCTTTACTTTGGGAGTCTAGTTTGAGGGAATTTATGTTATTTCACACCTCAAAATGGTGTTATTTTTAATCATTGGGGTGAAGGAGCCTCTTTAGAAAAATGGGTAGGGTCTTAGAAGCTATCTTTATCATGGGGGATGAGGTTTCTATTTGATGGTTCACATTGGGGGGTGGGGCGCATTTTTTTTTATTCTGCACAAATTTTTCATTAAATTGAATTGAAAATGACTTCAGGCAACCTTATTTTGGGATAGAGAGTATATCAGCACAGGAAAATGCATTCACCTATTCATACACATTTTAACATTAAAATATATTTTTTAACTCGTGATTATTATAAAAGAGCCATCACCAATACGACAAAGAAACCATTCTAATGATTTACTCTTCACATTGTGTTGTTTCATACAGCTATTAATGCAAGTGGTCTTGATAAGTTTCTGAATTCAATTGGAAAGCCACCTGTCTATGTTGATCTGGAGGTTAGGTTTGGTAAAAACTAATAAGTATGATTGCATCTTTAACTACACAAACTTGTTTTTGAAAAAAAGTATTGTTGTAGGATAACCCACCAGTTGGGAAGGATCAACCTCCTGATCTAGCTTATGCAGTTCCATCTGATGGACTTATAGTGCCTGATAATCTGGAGAAGTCGGCTGCCTCTATTGTTCCTGAGAAGAAAGGTCATGCTGCTGCTGATACAAAACCAGAAGTTAAAGGTAGTAAGATTGCTTTCTGCTTCATTTTTCTAACCTGAAGTTAAAGGTATTAAAATCTGGGAACTTGAGTTGAATTTCGAATGAGCTGATTTTGGAAACTTGAACTTACTATGAAAACTTAAACTAAATTCCACTACAAATTTGAACATAGCTTGAATTCAAGGGGTGCCTCTTACCAGTCTTACAGCATACGGAGTTGAACATAAGTTCGCTTCACCTTATTTTATACATAATGTAAGACTTAACTTGACTACACTTCTTCTACTTATATTTCTTTGATGAAGATATATAACATTTGGCCTTCCTTTGCAATCGATCGTCCAATCCTTATTTGCTTACCGTGGACACCATAATACAAGGATTATTACTTCGTGAATGAGTTTGATTTCTTGAATCGGAGTGATGATGTTTGCAAATATTTAAAAAATGAGAACTTCTTACTTGGTCTCTTATTGTAGCAAAAACTGCAAAGGAAGCCAACAATTTAAAAAAAGGAAGTTCCAGTAATTCACAGGGCTTAGCAACTACCTTTAATGATCCCGAAAAATTTGTTGAAGAAATCCTTGGAAAGATATCAGATGTGGTTCTTTCTGAGGTAAGGATAATATCTTCTCCACTAATTATTAGCTTCTGGGTTTATGTGTGATAGCTATGAGTTTTTAAACATACAGGTCAACAATGAGAACATCAACCAATATGGCGATCAACTTGGTTCTTTAGTGTCGAACAATATCAGGAAGCACCTTAGTACGGAAATGAAAACCATTGCTGTGAGTACCTTGCTTTAAAAAGAATTAAATTCTGAGTGGGTAATGCATGCATATTGGTTTAGTGTTTGACGATAAAACCCTTCACGTGAGGTGTATGAGCCACCTCTCCCCCATTCTCTTGGGGGGGGGGGGGATTCCGGCTTTTTCTGAACGGCTTGCTCCTAGCCGTTCTCAGGCTATGCTTTTGTTTCATAAAAACAAGATGGACCTCATTCCTAGGTTCTCCTTAGGACTAACCAGAAAGTAAATTGAGCTATAATCTTGGTCTCACAAATAAGGTGTGAGATGTGTCTTTGGTATGTTAGGGCCCTATGCTGTGCATGGTCGCCCCTCATTGCTGTTGCCAAGAGTCAAATTTGGGCATTATTACCCCCATGGACAATTCTTTTTGTACACCATCGGTTGCACCATAGTGCACACCACCACATTTTTATTGACACCATTTGTCTGTGGGCATTTTTCACCTGTATGCGGTGTCGTGAAATTGTCACACCTACAAGTGGTGTGAGTAAAAAATGTATTGGTGTAACCCATGGTGTACATGAAGCGCCATTTGTGTACTTGCTCTTTGCCATCGAGGCTACACTTGTTTCATGAGAATCATGAGATTATTATTACTTGTGCTTCACAACCAAGTAACTCGAACGAGTTTTTCGGTTGCAGACACTATTCAAGAACACCGCATACACAGATGGGTTTCATGCCGGGGTCTGCACTCAAGTAAAAAAGTAAGGATTCTTGGGTTGAGATCCCTTTTTTCTTAGGTTATGCTACATTCACACCACGGATGACATCAAGGTTGACATCATCACAATGGCTCTCACAGGAAGTGAGTGATTGTCTCTGGTGGTGTTAACCTTGTTGTCATCCTTGGGTCAAAGTAGCATTTTCCATTTTTTCTTTCATTGTTCAGATAGGTAGTCTGACTTTGTAGATAGCCATGTCAAAATGGCTGTTTTCAATTTGTTTGACGGTGCTATTTTCAGATTGATGTGTTTCTTCATTGTTTCAGAAAGTTATTGTCATCCCCCTTTGACAGAGGATTAATATGGTTAACCGAATAGTAGTGTTTATAAGATTTAACATTCTACGATTACTTGTCAAGCAGAACGATTTCCTTTGATCAACAATTTTGAAATGAAATTAAAGTAAAGTGGCTAGGTCTTTTCCCTATGAAATTTTATTACTATACTTTCTCTATCCCAAAATAAAATTCTGTTTACGTTTATGATATTAGATCGAAATTATTCTTAATTATATATATGTTTGAACATTATCAAAATAAAAATTTCTTTTCATATATGATATTAAACTGCAGTTATTTTTAATGCTGTGTTTGAAAATTAGTGCAAGATAAAAAGCTACCTAGTACTCTCTGTCATAAAATGCTCTTCTGGTTTTCATTTTTTGATAGAATTCAATTCAATTTATTTGATTGTAGATGTAAAATTAAAAAATACTACTGTCGTCCCGCTATATTTGTCCACTTTTGACTTTTGAAATTGTTCATCTAAGCACTTTGACTCATCAAATTCTCTCAATGTGTAAGTCTAAATATAGTTATGTGTGATCTTGTTTGATTTGTCTTAACATATGAATTATTAATATATAATTTTTATAATTTTTTAATATACAAATTACAAGATAAAATCGATTAAAGAAGTTTATTGGATTGTGTGTAAAAATAAAAGTGGACAAATACTCTGAGACAGAGGGAGTAAAACTTATATATTTAAAAATAACATTAAAAGTTCTACAAAAACAAGAGGTGACAAAATTATATTAATCTATCAAATAACTATAAAAAATAGATAAAAAAAAATGTCATTAAAGTGTGACCTGGTAATTGGGAAGAATGTTTTAAAATGAAGGGAGTATTTAAAAATTGCATTAAGAAATTTATTATTTTTGTTTCATACACTACTCATTGAGTCAAATTTAATCTTCCTTCTTCGAGTCATTTGTCACTTGTATAAGCAATATAGTTATATCACTTTTTGTTTTGTAAATTTTTTATTTAGTTTTTAAAGATATACTTTCCCTGTCTCTATTTAAAACACTTGTTTCAGTTTAAGATATTTGATTGAAGTTATTTTTAATACAATATGAGAATTATGATGGAAGGAAAAAAAATTACATATTTAAAAATTACATCAAAAGTTCTACGAATCAAGAAGTGACTTGAAAAATAGGTATAAAAAAAAGGGAATAAAGTTTGTTTACTGGTGAATAGTAAATATGTCACTTAAATTGAGATGGAAGACTGGAAGTAATGTTTATTTTTAAATTTTCCACCAACATTTGGACAAATTTTATTCTAATAATTATAGACAAATATCGTAAACTAAAATAATAGAAAAGTAGTGAGACTGAGGGGGTACAAACTAAGTTGTGATTTGATTATTTTATTTTTCTAAACGATTAGTAAAATATATGTAATTCAACTATGTGAATAGTAAACGAGTTAATATGGATGGAGTATAATGTGTCAAGCTCAAATGGTTTGAGTTAATCTTATTTCTCATGATCTGTCCCGTTGAAATGCACTTTCTATCCAAAGAAACACACAATTCGTCCGTCTACAAAAATTACTTATCCTAGTTTGACCTTTACATTAATTTTGATAATAAATTGTGAGAAAAAAAATACCACATTTTTTATTATATAGATTTTATATAATAGAGTTCATTCTAATATGCATTTTTTTAGAGAATTCTCTATCAAATTTTTACCCGTAGTAACATTTATTTATTTAAAATTATACAGAGTATTTAATCTGTGGTTGGTTAAAGTTAATATAAAAATTAAACTAAAACAAACAATTTAAGATGGCAGGAGTAGATTATAGAAAGATGGAGTCCACTACAACACACACAATATAACCCCAACTCATAAGTGTGGTGTATAAACAACACTATCTTAAAAAGACTTTTCAAATATGCGAGTACAACAAATTTCGGAGTATATACAAACTTTCCTGTAAATCCAGTTGGCATGATAATTTGTAAATGTGTATATTATAGGGAGTAATTTTAAAATATACCCACCTTGAGTATGTACAAAAAATGCATTTTTCTGCAATTTCATTTTCAAGATTTCATCTCATTTTTTCAAAGATTACAAGTCTTGTTAGCAACAGAATGGAAATTTTCTTTAACAACGAAGTGAGAATTGTGCAATTTATAATTACACATACATCAATTTCAAGAGGCACACAGTCGGTGTATATGCAAAGACACGAATGTGCGGAATAAGCATTGTAAAACTTGTAAATTTCATATCTCGATAAACAACAAACAGAGTACAGCTTGAGTCCGGATGTATAATACACGAACGCGTCGAGTACAAGTACATCATCACATGAGCTTCAATTCATGGAACTGATTGTGTTTGTGAAAGATGATAGAGATTTTTAATGGAAGAAACCCTTCACCTTGGCTGGGATGAATATGTGTTTGAGCCTTGAGGATCAAAATGCATGCAAAAGTGGTCTNCCCCCCCCCCCCCCCCTCCACCACCCACCCACCCACACCTAGTGGTAAGGTGGGAGCTTCCATCTTCAAATGGAGATAAATGGGTCAGAAGTTCTTCTGGGACACACAATGTGAAATCACATGGTTTGTTTCCCAACCATCTTTTGGTTTAAGAGTCATTATCTTCTAATGGGTAGGCTTTCTTTTCTTGTAAGGCAGAAGAGATTAAGCATTTACCCTTCTATTGAAATTCAATGAAGCATGTGGGGCATAATGATGCTTACCAGTTGTTAATGTCTCTTGTCCTCTGAGCTGGCAGTCCCCTTCCATTCACATCTTCTCTACCTCCCAATGGATCTATATATAACCACACATGATTTGGTATTTCTCCCCACTCAATACCAACATTAACACAACTCCTCTTATTATAACATTCATCTTCAAGTAGTTTTTCAAAAAAAAAAACACATACCGTCGTCTCTAGTTTCAAGAAAAGCATCTGGTCATGGCGATTAGTATGGCAAAGATCTTGCGCGCCAAGCAAGGCCTCAGGAGGTCTTCTTCAAGAACAAACAGAGAAAGTGAGGTTCCCAAAGGGCACTTTGCAGTTTATGTTGGAGAGGGTGAAAAGAAGCGATTTGTCATCCCGATTTCGCATCTGAAGAGCCCTTTGTTTCATGACTTGCTTACTCAAGCTGAGGAAGAATTCGGTTTCGATCATCCAACATTTGGAGGACTCACAATCCCTTGTCCAGAGGATACCTTCCTTGAGATAATCTCTAGTTTATGAGATCTTGAGAAATTTCTGCAAAAGATTAGATGGCTTAGTTTAGTCTCTAGAGAAGGAAATTTTTGAGCTTCAAGAAGAGCTTTATTGTACAGAATACATATTTTTATTACAAGTACAAATGAATTTACTGTCAATTAAAGAGCATGATTACTGTTTTGGATTGAAATACTTTTCACTTGTTCTCTCTTACCCAAACAAGTACTCTGTGATCATAGCTAATACAGACAAGTGGATTGAACATCTTTCTTGGACAGGAAAACTGACTGCAGTTCTTTCAGAAACTGAATTTATTCACTTTTGGTTAAGACCGTCATATTCCCATGTAATCAGGTCCTTCATCTTCTTGAAAAACAAAAAAACAAAACAAAACGGCTTCTTCACGAAAGATATTAAAAATTTCAACCACAATTCATCAACGAAATTCAGATCATATTGGGTTGTGGTTTGAAACCACACACACTGCAGAAATTTCTTTCATTTGATTTTCACCAGTCTTGCCAGTGTAGGTGCAACTGTGCAAGAATTTACTGGTTTTATGAAATGTTACTCTCCCTTCTTCATTACATTATTTGTGGCTGTAGAGAAAAAAGAAGCGCAGAAATGAAGGTTGATAAAGAAAAGGTTGCATCTGAGAAAGATCTTCTTCCCATCTTTTCTTTAGAGTAGCTCCATTTCTTTTATGAACTTAATGCTCACAATCATGAATCATCCGAACCAGAAAAGAGAGTATAAAGCAGAGCTGAGAGAAAAACTTTCCATTCCAAAAGGTTGACATCTACTATTCAAACTATTCTCCAACTTGATTACCTCCCATTCATCAAAATTCTTTCTTCTGAATGATCAATACTGACTGACTCTAACTCCACTGTGCAAAAAAAGGGGGTTCAAAAAGGCCATCCTATCCGGGAACTTTCGAACAACGGTCTGTCCTTTTTCTTGAGGCAATCTCTCTAACATTCCAAACAAACAAGCCAAATTTAGAAGAACAAGAGAGGATTAATGGGCTTCCTGCATGCTTACAAATTTTCCATTTCGTATTGTCCAATAAAACTCAACCTCCTAGCGTACACATTTCTCAGCCCTTCTCAGTTCAGTGAAGCTGATGAAGACAAGAACTGAGGAAGCCCAGCACAAAATTTCTTGTAATCACATCAAATGCGGAATAAAGGGAAATAGAATAGAAGAGAGCAAGATCCTCAACGAGTAGGTTGCAGTGTCTGATTATCAGAATGGAGAAGAAGCAAGCAATCTATTTAACATGTTCAACAGGCTGGCATATGCTTCAGTTCTTGAGGAAGGCAAAACCATGTGCGAACTAGACATATGGGGTCATTTAGCTTCAACCAGGAAGACATTTAATTAGAATCACATGGCTATGTTTCCCATTTAACCAAAGGCAGTAGAAACTATTGATGGTTTTCCAATGAACGTGTCATACCAAACTACCACCCCTTTGCGGTACCTACCAAGCTGGCAGCAGACATTATTGGAAGACAAAAGCATGTGGTATTGACAGAGTGGTTTGTTGATCCATCTCAAGTTCATATAACTTATTCAACCTTCTAAAGGATCGTATATCTATATAAACCCATTCAAGTTGGTATTCACCACCACTCAAACTCAAGGACTTCCTCCACAGTTCACACAGCATACTATTTCAGCATTCACACAAGCTATTTCTTCATTTAACACTTGCTCCACATCCTAAAAGAAATATGGCCATCAGTATGAGGCGCATTCTCCGTGGAAACCAAGGAGGTCTCAAAAGGTCTTCCTCAAGAACAAACAGAGAAAGCGAGGTTCCTAAGGGCCACTTTGCAGTCTATGTAGGCGAGGGAGAAAAGAAACGCTTTGTCCTTCCAATAACATACTTGAAGCATCATTCGTTCCAAGAACTGCTATGTCAAGCTGAAGAAGAATTCGGATTTGATCATCCAATGGGTGGCCTTACGATTCCTTGTCCGGAGGAGACCTTCGTGAATATCATCTCTAGCTTGGAGTAGTAGATCTTGATATACTTCAGATATCCTAGTTCCTAGACATGAAAGCAATTTTGTAGAAACGCTTATTCTTGTACAATGTTCTAATTTTTTCCTTCCTGGTCAAATTGGGAAGCATATAAAACAAGTAATTTCTCTCATCAATTGTTCTGAATCTATCTAACCCGTATTACGGATTATCCCGAATGATTAAAGCCATAGGATAGGAAGTCTAATAATTACAGATATCTCCAAGCTCTTATGGAAATTAAGAGTTATAATTCCCAATTCAAAGTTGAGTCAGAAGAGTTAGACTCAACTAGCACTTACTGAATCTGAATCCAAGTAGGAGAAAAGTAGAAGCAAAATGAGCTCACCAGGAATTATGAATGAGGCAGTCATTAGTTTCATATATTCAAACTGTTGAAATAAATAAACCACAAAAGTGAAAAAAAAATAGGAAGCTGAAGAACACCACGGAAATCCTGCAAAGTTGAAAATTCCAATGTTGGTCTGAAAGCAGAGAAATAACATTGCTCAAAAAAGTCTCTGCTGCCAGGGTTTTGAGCCCGGCTTTTATGATGGGTCAATTAGCCATAGATACAACAGAACCATACACGTCATTGAACCAGCCCAACTAGTCCTGAATCAATTTACTTTCAATTATATATCATGAACCATTAAAATGATAGGAAAGGAACCTTAATAATTCTAAACAGAGACTAAGTTTATTAAGTAAAATTGCCTCTTCATCCAGTGGAAGAATGGGATTGAATCGTGCGCAGAAAGAAATTCATATTTGCACTGTTAGAGAAACTAGAATTGCCCATTTGGGCATGAAAGAATAGTCGAATCAAAACAGAGAGAGCTCCGGTTTTCCCACTCGGGCATGAAGGAAAAGAAGAATCCAAACAGGATTGCAGAAGAAAATAGGAGCCATAAATTCTGAAGCCCAATGAATAATATTGAAACCCCAGAATTAGAGAAGCAAAAATTAGTTCGTAGTTTCGGTATCAAATATTTCGGTTTAGTATGAAGTTTTAAGTAGTAGATTCTAAAGCATCGGTTCGATATAGTTCGAGATAGTTCGATATCGGTTTCCGTACGAACCGGGATGACTATATACGTACCTAGTTTACACGATAAAATGTAATAAAATCTTTTATTTTTGAAAAATTAAAAGTACATTTCACCAAATAAAGATAAAAAATTTAAAAATGAAAAATAAAATGTAAGAAATACTTATGAAAGTTAGTTTATATTTCACAAACTAAAGAGAATGAGTAATAATAAAGTATTATTTTAAATGTTTGTTAATATTCTTATATTACTTATCTACAAATAACAAAAAACTCTTATTAAAGTGTAACTTACACATAATGATATTAAACTAAATTGTCTATATAAATTTTTTTATTTAATGATGAAATATAAAAAGATTATTATTTTTATAAAATATTAGTATATATGTTCGGTTTGAGAATTTCATTATGGGTAGTAACTTCGTACCGTTTCCAAATATCGAACCGAACGTTTGGTTTGGTACGGTTTGATTATTTTGTGGTACTTTATCAGTTCGATATTAAGTATTTTCATTTTTTGTTGAGAAATATCGATTCGCTCCTTGCTCACTCCTAACAAAAACTGAAAAAAATCAGGCATCGGGATTCGAACCCGGCCGGGACTTAAACCTAGAAACCCAATTGGCAATTGTTATAGCGGACCAGAAACAGCTTAGATTTTTGATACCATGCATGTAATCTTTCTTGATACGGAGTATTACTTAGCGCTCTATTGGAGCTGAAATGCAAAGTGTTTGGCGGCAATGATTTTTAAAGATTACTAGTACCACACCCGTACGTTGCACGGGTCATAGTTACAGTACTAACTTCAGATCATTTTTAGGAATATAAATTGGTATATAATGGAAATATGGAATATAGAGATTTCATTATTTTATAGTACAAAAGTAAATTGATTTACAAATTTCGAAAGACTTCTTTATAAACTACATTACTCGTATGTATAATTTGTGTGAGCATTTACTTCGTTGTATATCAGAATCTTCAAGCCATTGCGATTTATTACTCTTTAACCCACAACATACACTTTTTCATGATTAAATACCAGTTTCCGTAACAATAATTCAATATGTTTAAGATATTGTTCTTGATAATAATTCAATAATTTGACTTATCTAAGTAATAATTCAACATATTAATGTATTTATTTTGGAATTTGTATTTTTTAATTTTATTTTTGTATTTAAGTGGTACCATTAACTTACCCCATGGTATATTTATTTTCTATTTTATTTTAGATCATTTACCATTTTTACACGTATTCATGCTTGTAAATTATAGTATTAATAGTATTTATTTTAAAATACTTATACCATTGTTACATGTTTCCATGCTTATAATATTAATAGTATTAATTTATAATTTTTTAATTTTTGCATTTAAATGGTACCATTTGCTTAATGTACCATATTTATTTTTTAATTTATTTTATAACACTTACCATTTTTACATGTTACCATGCTTGTAAATTGTAGTATTAATTGATAGTATTATTTTGTATTTTTCTATTTTATTTTTTTATTTAAATGGTATGATTTACTTACCGTACCGTATTTATTTTCTAATATATTTTAGAATACTTATCGTTTTAATAATTATTTTATTTTCTAATTTATTTAGAACACTTACCTAAATTATTTTAGAACACTTACCATTTATTTTATTTTGTGTTTAAATGGTACCATTTGCTTATCGTGGTGACATACCATTCCGTATTTATTTTCTAATTTTCTAATTTGAACAATTACCTTTTTAAAAAAAATCATGTTTTTAAAGTATAGTATTAATATTAATTTTGCATTTTTTTAATTTATTTTAGTATTTAAATCGTACTAATTACTTACCAAACCACATTGTTTTCTAATTTATCTTAGAACGCTTATCATTTTTAGATGTACTCTCTCTGTCCCTAAATAGATTACAATTTTTTTTTCTCCTCTCGATAACTTTTGTTTGTTTACGCGATTTCATTAAGTATTTGATAAAATAAAATATTCTTATCATTTCTTGTTTTGTAGAACTTTTGACGTAGTTGTTTAATATGTAATTTTTATATCCTATTGATATATCAATTTGTAAATAAAATGATTTCAAAAAGTAAGAAATTTTACTCCGTAACCCGCAATTTGTAATGAAATTGGGGACTGATGGAGTATTTTATTTTCTCTTTTATTTTAGAACACTGACCTAATTTATTTTAGAAAACTTACCATTTATTTTATTTTCGTTTTTAAATGGTGCTAATTGCTTACCATACCATATCTATTTATTTTCTAATTTTCTAATTAGAACATTTGTCATTTTTAAAACGTTTCCATTCTTTTAAATTATAGTATTAATATTAATTTGTAGTTTTTGTAAATAAAACGATTTCAAAAAGTAAGAAATTTTACTCCGTAACCCGCAATTTGTAATGAAATTGGGGACTGAGGGAGTATTTTATTTTCTCTTTTATTTTAGAACACTGACCTAATTTATTTTAAAAACTTACCATTTATTTTATTTTCGTTTTTAAATGGTGCTAATTGCTTACCATACCATATCTATTTAATTTCTAATTTTCTAATTAGAACATTTGTCATTTTTAAAACTTTTCCATTCTTTTAAATTATATTATTAATATTAATTTGTAGTTTTTTATTTTATTCTTTTATTTAAATGTTATCATCTACTTACTGTGCCATATTTATTTTCTAATCTATTTTAGAAAACTTACCATTTTTACGCGTTTGTGCTTGTAAATTATAATATTTTTTAATGATAAATAATAAATTTGTAGTTTGAAATAAATCATTTTAATCCTGCCCATACTATATTAATTTGTAATTTTTAAATTTTATTTTAATATTTAAATGCCAGTGTATTTTATTTCCATACTTCAATTCCCCAATAGTTCACTACTATTTAATTTAATTTAATTTAATTTAAATGCTTAAATGGTGTAACATTTAAATAAAAATAAAAATAAAAACATACATAAAATGGAAGAAAAAGATTAAGGTAAAATAATTAAACTATCATTTATGTTGTCAACACTTTCCGTATATGAGTGTCATGCATGGGCGGGAAAAAATTCATGTCTTTTTAAATAATGTATAGATAGATTGGATTGTAATGTAGTATTTGTTCTAATATAAAAAAAACTAATATTTGCAACAAAAACTTTGCCGTGAAAATTTTTCTGTTGCACAATTGCAATAATATCTCTTACAACTTTGATGGGAGATTTACACTTATTGAGTTTTTTCTATGAATTATCTACAACAGACAATTCTTATAATGAACAAGAAACGACTCGTGTTTCTTACGACATACATGTAAAATGATGTAAAATTTGGTCATAGTTTCTCAACTTAATAATATATAAAGAGTCAATACCTCTGATGGGGCTCAAATTTGGTAAATTTCCTCATGAATTCTAGGAAGGCTTCCTACGACTCAAACCATCGAAAAAGTTGGGTGACGGTAAATTTACTTCACATAAATGAAGTAAATTTATTTAAAATGTGTGTGGATATAAATAAAAAAAAATTTACAATATAGTTACATATTTTAAGTAAGGGAGTTATGGAAGATTGACTAAGTAATAAGATTTAAAATGTTAGGACCTAGTCAGGATTAAAAGGCAATTAAATAAACTAGTTACATATTTGTAATTTCCTAGTTTATTTAATTGCCTAATATAGTTATTAGGCAATTAAAATATTTAATTGCCTTTTGTAATGTTGGAAATTACAAATATTTGTAATTACAAATAGTTACAAATATGTAACTATATTGCAATTAATATCCTAGTTTATTTAATTGCCTTTTGTAATGTTGGAAATTACAAATAGTAGTCAATCTTCCATAACTCCCTTACTTAGTCAATCTTATTACTTAGTCAATCTTCCATACTTTTGTAATAAATCATTTTAATCCTAGTTTATTTAAATGTTAGGACCTAGTCAATCTTCCATATCTACCATCTTAAAATAAGATTAAATATGTTATTGCAATAGCTCCACCTTGCTGGCAATATATGAAGAAAAGAAAAATGAGGGCATAAGTACGGTGTGGGATAGGAAAGCCCGTAAGAGGAACTCTAACGCGCAGTGTAAAGCTGAGTAAAGTTTATAAAATAAACTAATAAAGGGTTTAGCATTTACTGTGCATAATTTTGAGCTCCAACGGGTCGGGCATAAAATAGAAGGAAATGTATTTTCCATCCCTCGTCTTCCAAATATAAATGCTCCTGTGATACGGTATCGTATCGGGATAGGGAAGGATTTCGAGCACCTTCGAGCTCCAAGAACAAAAGAGGCAAGAAAGAGAGAGAGAATCGCACGATACTTTGTTCGGCGAAATAGAAGAAAGAGAGAGAAGAGGAAGAGATTAGAGTTTAGGGAAAAATGATTTCCTTTATTGATTGAATAATAACTCCATGGTGGTGATACATTTATAGCTAGCATATTGAAGGAATCCTAATTACAAAAGGCAATTAAATAAACTAGGATATTAATAACCTAATATAATAATAATACTCCATAATAACAAATAACTAACCATAAATACTAAACTACCTACAATAATAATAGTTACTAAATATACTAAATGTAGTCCCGTAACACTCTCCCCGCCTCAAAAACCAACTTGTCCTCAAGTTGGAAATTCAACAAAGAACGAGGAAAAAGTGTGTCATTCATCGTCCCTCCTCCGGGGTCAAACACCTTATTCATTGGAGCATCCAAAGAACCAAACATGCCCAAAGCATTCACAATACCAAGCACAAAGCGCCAGACAACCAATAGTGGAAATATTATGCCATCACGTGTAACATCTCCAGAGTTATAAAGGAGTACAACTTCACTGTCTAACATCCCAGATTTTTCTGTGCATCCAAAACAAATTGCATTGGCGCCGGAAACTTTAGTCGTGAGAGAATGGTCGCGTTGGTGTTCGTCCTCGTCAGCATTGTCTACAGGAATAACATTAGTAATAACAAGAATATCATTGAGAACACTAACACGATCAACAGCAATTTCCTCCTTGGCTACAAACGACTCATTTGCTTTAGTTGGTTCCTGCACAAACCTTTCCTTTGCCTGGTCAATCATTGACATCCAGGCATTGTGGCGAAATCCCGTAACCTTATGAAACCATGATGCAACTCCTGGGTCGGGTTCGTTGGTGTTAATGCATGGCGGATCAATGTGGCGTTGTGGTAACTGATATGGTATTTCACAACGGTGTGTTGTGCATGATGGGGGTGGATGCCAACGTGCGTCAGCCATATGTCGGTTGTGATAACCATGTGGATCGGCTATTTTGTTGCTGACCTTTGCAGCCAATGCATCAAGCATTTTGTTGGTGTCGTGTAATTCTAGCCTCAAATTCTGGATTGCCTGCATCACCGTGTCCAAGGAGATAGGCCCCTCTGTCAATTTTCTTTTTCTTGTGTCGGCGCATGGCATAAACCTAATCATGTTGGGCTGCTGCCTTTTTTTTTAGGTCTAATTGGACTCCAAATGTGAGTTGTGGCTGCAAGTTGCCACAAACTCCCCTATTTTGGATCTGCTCTTCAACCACGCAAAGAATTTGTGTGTTGGATTCTTCTCTTGTTTGGCCGAAACCACTCCTTGAAGTTTACCTTTCAATGTGAAAATCACAAGTAAGGTAAAGAAATAAACACAATTTGAAGAGGCGGTGATTGTACCCTTGGCGGCGATGGTAAATCTAGCTATTCTTTTTTGGTTGAGAATTTTTTTTTTTTTTGGTTTTTTTTTGTGGTGAGTTCAACAATGAAAGCACCAATTGATACGGTATCGTATCGGGATAGGGAAGAACTTCGAGCGTTCTTCAAGCTCCAAGAGAAAAAGAGACGAGAAGAGGGAGAGAACCGCGAATCTTTGTTCGGCGGAAGAGAAGAACCAGAGATAAGAGGAAGAGATTAGGGTTGGAAAATGATTGTTCTTTATTGATTTAATTCTAAAGCAATACATCTCAATATATAGAGTGAAACTCTAAAAGCCTAAGGGAATCCAATCTCTAAAAGGAAACTAAATAAAATAAGAAACTAATTAATAACCTAACAAAAATAATATTCTCTAATAATAATTATCTAACTATAAATAACTCCTTACCTACAATAATAATAATAATAATAATAATAATATAATAATAATAATAATAGTAATAGTAATAGTCCCGTAACATCCTGTAGATAGTGTAAATTGCTTCCTCTCGATCATGACTATTTTCTCCGCTTCGCCAATCGCCGATGTCAATCTTCATATTCTCTTTTGTTGTTCCTCTCCTTGAAAACTATGGAGATTTTTTTGACAATCACTGATATGCAATTTCCTCTAAAGACCTTCTCCTTCACTACATCTTGAGTTTTGCGATTCAACTATGGATCTTCTCATTAATTAGTACATCAATTTTTGCAACTACCAGTCTATGCGAGTGGCGGCGGTGGTTTAGGGCGGCATAGTTGAATTTGCAGAAGGGATGATTTTTTTATTTTGCTGTGGGTGTGAATGTTTCCAAGACGAAGGAATGGGGTTGGAGGTTAAAAATACATGATATGGTTGGAGTGAATATCAAAAAATTAGCTGTTAATTAAACACTGTTCAAGGGCTAAAATAAGATTTAGATGACGAAAATATAAAAGGTGGGTTGGAGTTGCTCTAAGAGAAAATATGGATCCATAATCATTATTTCTCTTCTTCAATTCAATTAAGGACCCATTTTTTAACCCACAAAAAAAAGTTAAGGACACATTTTGTGAGTTCTGGAGATACAAGTTAGAGACTTAGAGCCAGTCGATTGCATCACTCGATTCACTACATCCCAATTCCCAAAATTATTATGATTAATTATTCAATGTTTCAATACAAGAACGCTCCAATTTGATTTTGGAGATCTGATTTGTTGTTTTTTTTAATGTATCGATGTTAAAATTTATAAAAACAGACCAGGGTTATTGAGATTTAGGACTAAAACCATAAAAATTTAGGGTTGAAAATTTATATAAACAAATTAGGCCTATTTTCTTTTGGAGATCTGATTTGTTGTTTTTTAATGTATCAATGTTAAAATTTACTCCCTCAGTCCGGAAATATTCTTCCCATTTTACTTTTCACGGTCTCCAATATTGCGCTTTGACCATTAATATCTATATTTATACATAGATATATTTTATAAAAATTTGATATTTGAAAACTACGTTTCATTTTGAATATATTAGTATTAAATTTATATCATAATACAATGTATTTTTTCCACAAATCGTAGTCAAAGTTTACAAACTTTGACCAAGAAAAGTCAAATGTGAAGAATATTTCCAAACGGAGGGAGTATAAAAATAAACCAGGGTTATTGAGATTTAGGGCTAAAACCTTAAAAATTTAGGGTTGAAAATTTATATAAACACATTAGGCCTATTTGCTTTATAATGTTATTCACAGATTGTCTTTGTTAAAATAAAAATTTTGCTGTATGTTTTGTTAGGTGGCTTTATTCACAGGATTCTTTGAGCAGAGATGGAGTTCACAGCGGAGGCAGTGGAAAGTTTTCTCGGCTCGACCCAACCTGGAAAAGAAAATGAGTTCTGGATCACATATGACGGGCACATCGGGTATGGATACGGGATACCCGAGCAACCCGTAGCAATCAAGAAATCGCGTCCCAAGGATTACGAATGCCTAGAATTAAGAGCTCAGTTTAAGGTACTTTGTTCTCAACTTTATGATATGTGTAGTTTCTTCTTTGAATCTTGTGTTCTTGGTCTGCTTGAACTGAATTTTCTAATTTCTGTTAAGAACGAACTTATGCCGAAGTCAATCAACCACACTAACATTGTCAAGTTGGTTGGCTATGCCGAATCGGATACCCACTTTTACCTTGTCTACGAGAAGATTCAAGGGCGCACTCTTGATCAAATGATTGAAGGTAATTGGCATTTGATAAAATCATTGGTTTAAGCTAGCTGAGAATATTCAAGTTAATATCGGTTCATGATTTGTATTTGAAATATATGCACAAGCTCTACTAAAATGTAAGGCCCTCTCATTGTGACTGATGAAGATTTATTAGTTCTTTAAATCATAGTTCATGCAAATCATGTTAGTTGTGTTTTTGACAGGAGGTTTACTATGTGTTACTATAATAAACCCAGCATGTGTGGAGTGGTAATAGAAGGCAGATGTGTTGTTGTTGCTAACAACATTAGGGATTAACTTACACTAAGATGAAGGGAACCAAATTCCTCCCATTTTGGTGAGGGAATTGAGTGAAAACTATTTTCTTTTCTTTTTCGTTCCAATTTCCTTGAATCAAAGATAGTGGTAGTCTTTGCAGACAAGAAACCAAACAAAAACTCTCCCGTCCTATTTTAAGTTGTATCCAAAAGGACAAAGTTTATTTTTTTTAATTCATTTGATAAAATAATACGAAGTATAATCTTGTTATATCTTCTTTTGTGAAATTTTTTATGCAGCTTTTTAAATATATAAAAGTAAATTTTACTCCTTTGGTTCTTACTTGGGTTGTTGTTGTTGGTCCTGAATTAAAGTTCTTGTCTGTTTTTCATGGAGTAATTACTACTCCGTAATAAAATTATATTCTCTCTGTCTTATAAATTCATTTTCCTTTATTTTTTCTTTATCCCACAAAGTCTTTCTTTTTACGGAGTATTAAAAAACATCCTTTATCCTTATTAATTTTTATTTTATTTATCGCATCATACTTTTTTTATTAATAATATGTATATCACATCTCACTTTTAGTCATTACATCAATGTTATTTTTAATAAAGTCAATACAAAAACATTATTCTCTTAATTTTCTTGAAACTCAAAATGGGAATCCTTGTGCTCTTTTCTTTGTAGCCTTCTTTTAATAGGGCTCGCAAAATATTTTAATGTCCTATCAAATACTTTCTTCGTATCTCTCTATTTCTGTCTTAAGTAATTTATCTGATTTATATCTTGGGCTAAACTGAATTTTAAATAATATTGGATTAGAGAAAATCTCTAATCTATCAATATGTGGTTAAAATTTTTTTAAAAAAAATAGTTGTAAAAGTTAAATTGGGAATTTAGAAGGAGAGAATATACTACCTCCGTCCCATAGTATTTGTCCACTTTCATTTTTACACACCATCTAATACACTTTTTTAATCCATTTTATCTTATAATTTGTATATTAAAAAATTATAGAAATTATATATTAATAATCTATATGTTAAGACAAATCAAACAAGATCACACATGACTATATTTAGGCTTACACATTGTGAGAATTTGATAGTCAATGTGCTTAGATGAACAGTTCCAATGAGGGTTTTTTAAACATTATTACTAAATTTAAAAAAACATTTCCAATGAGGGTTTTTTAAAACATTATTACTAAATCTAAAAAACCCCTCATAGGTTCATCTAGTGCTTAGATGAACAATTCCAATGAGGGTTTTTTAGATGAGTCAAAGTGCTTAGATGAACACTGCTTTGATAGGACATTAAAATATTTTGCGAGCCTTAAAAGAAGGCTACAAAGAAAAGAGCACAAGGATTCCCATTTTGAGTTTCAAGAAAATTAAGAGAATAATGTTTTTGTATTGACTTTTCTAAAAATAATATTGATGTAATGACTAAAAGTGAGATGTGATATACATATTATTAATAAAAAAATATGATGTGATAAATAAAATAAAAATTACTTCCTCCGTCCCGCTATTTTCGTCCACTTTTGACTTTTGGAACTATTCATCTAAGCACTTTGACTCATCAAATTCTCTTAATGTGTAAACTTAAATATAATCGTGTGTGATCTTGTTTGATTTGTCTTAACATATAAATTATTAATATATAATTTCTATAATTTTTTAATATACAAATTACAAGATAAAATGGATTAAAGAAGTGTATTGGATGATGTGTAAAAATGAAAGTGGACAAATACTCTGGGATGGAGAGAGTAATAAGGATAAATGATGTTTTTTAAAATGCCAATTAACATTTAGTAATAATGTTTAAAAAAAACCCTCATAGGTTCTCCATATATTTCAATTAGGAAACTGGAGCATCACATTCCATCCCCGAACACCTTCTATCCGCTGCATTAATCATCTTCTTCTTCTTTCGTTCTTCCTGCTTAGCGACCACAGAGGGAGAGTCCCCCGGAGTCCCTTCGTCAAGTGTACTTAATTTCTTCACCAAAATAATCGAGGCGAGTAGCGTTTCTATATCACTGGTTATGATTGATTCGTACACTAGGATTTGTCCATATATTATCCACCCAATCGATGTTGAATTTGTGAATATTATTGTGGAATTGTTGTGATTGATTTAGTATTTGGGAATATGAATTTGATTTTGGAAATTTGGGTCGGTCTACTGTGTGACTTCGTTGCTCTGCTTCCCGTTCATCTGCTCCGTCTCTTCCTTTTTCTCTTCCCCTCCTCTATTTCAATATGTTCTTTTCTTGCTCTTATCGTTTCCTATGTCCCTGTGCCTGTGCCTGTGCCTGGACCGGACTACTGCTGCACAGTTGGGAATGCCGGCTAGGGTTCGCCTCCTATTATGATTATGACTTTGATTGTGGTCTTCAATTCATCTTTTTAGTCTCCCAAGTTGGGTATGTTTTGTGTAACTGTTGTTCGATTTTAGGATTAAGTTTTGTTAGGTTGCTTTATTCCCAGGACTCTTTGAGCAGAGATGGAGTTCACAGTGGAGGCAGTGGAAAGTTTTCTTGGCTCGACCCAACCTGGGAAAGAAAATGAGTTCTGGATCACATACGACGGGCACATCGGGTCTGGATACGGGATACCCGAGCAACCCGTAGCAATCAAGAAATCGCGTCCCAAGGATTCTGAATGCCTAGAATTAAGATCTCAGTTTGAGGTACTTTGTTCTGAACTTCATGATATGTGTAGTTTCTTCTTTGAATCTTGTGTTCTTGGTTTGCTTGAACTGATTTTTCTAACTTCTGTTAAGAACGAACTTAAGCTGAAGTCGATCAACCACACTAACATTGTCAAGCTGGTTGGCTATGCCGAATCGGATGCCCACTTTTACCTTGTCTACGAGAAGATTCAAGGGTAAACTCTTGAACAAATGATTGAAGGTAATTGGCATTTGATAAAATCGTTGGTTTAAGCTAGCTGAGATTATTCAAGTGAATATCGGTTAATGATTTGTATTTGAAACAGATCAAATCTCTTGGGAAGGGGCAATAAAGATTTTGGATGGGATAGCATCTGCGATTAGGTACCTGCAGGAGCACCCCAATGGCCCTTGGGTACACTGTGGCCTATGCCTAAGCAACATCGTTGTCAACGAGGTAAAGTAGATGTCAAAGTTATAGTTAACATCGTTGTCGACCAAGGCCCTAGCTTGTCCTAATGATGGTTTATATTTATTTACAGAATGGGAGTCCGAAGTTGCTAGAATTTCGATATTGTGTTGCTTTGGGCGAGAGAAAGATCGGAGGCTACGAAGGATTCAAGCATCCAGAGGAAAAGGGTATACTTAATTTGGGATACATGTCTACAATTAGTGCATATTTTGTTGATTCTGATTGATTTAATTGTCTTAATCATATTTAGGGCTAGCTTCTTTGGAAACAGACGTGTTCTCGTTCGGAGTGCTCGGCATGCTTTTGCTCACGAAAGATTCTAAAACGGCTTTTGTGAATAAGGATGGAGTGCAAGAGCCTTTTACCAATCTCTATCTCGTGTTGCTTTCTCTTTTTTTCGGGGAGTAAATACAAGAAAAATTATACTCTCTCCGTTCTATAACTTAATTTCCAGTTACTATTGACACGGTCAAAGTAGAATCGTACTTAAGCAGTAGATCAAAGGAATTATCTTATCTTCATGGAGGAGCTAAGTATTTATATTTTATCGGGTAATAACTTCTTGGCAGTGATGAGAACATATTTCAATTTTGTTATTTGAAATTTGAGGAGCTAAATATTTAACTGAAAGAATTGTGTACTCAATTTGAGAGCGAGATGGGCTAGGATCTTGTATCGAAAATATTTCAATTTTGTTAAAAAGCTAAAATAGAAGGATTTGTTTATAGTTTTTCATATTTTGGCTTTTTGAACTCAAATGGTCAACCCCAATATTCAAATGTCAAACACCCTATTTAAATGTTTGATCAGGCAAAATGCAATATTATTTGTCAAAATAGTATAAAAAAACGTACCATCTCAAAAGCCAAAAACCAAAGATGGCCAATTGACCATAGTCCATACAACTCAATCCGTATGAAAAGAAAAGCGTGTTTAAGTAAGCAAGTGGAACCCAACTAGAAGTTTGTCCAGCCAAACACACCCTAACCGATGACACTTTTTTTGTTGAGGAAAACAGCAATGAAAATTAGTATTACGTGGATGCCAAGAAAATGATGAACTGACAATTCCTCAAAATGCCAATCCTCTCTATTAAATTTACTTGTGTACAAATTTGGATTCCGTAAAAGTAACAATGTAATTTCCTTACACTATCTTTGGTTTAAAGAGCTCGAAAGAAAAAAAAAGATAGTATTTCCTCCGTCCTAATTCTTTCTTCCCAGTTTGACTTTTCTCCATTTTTAATTTTTGGCTTTGACTTCAAATTTTACCCTCCTTAAAAAATATTTTTTGAAATTTTTTTTTGCAATCGTTCAAAATATAGAGTTAGAAGATAATTGGTGTAAATACATGAGGGTATTAATGTCATTTGCCATCTTTTTTTCTAATAGGAAGGTAGTTTTAGGACGGGGAAAAAAGGGAAGTGAGAAGAAAGTTTTAGGACGGAGGGGGTAACATAGAAAACCCTTTTTCTTGAATGAAAAGAAAAGAAAACTGGAAGATAAAAAAAAGAGAATGTAAAATATATCAAGATAAACCGTTTCCTAAAACACTCACATCCTAATTTTTCGCGCCCCATTAAACACTTCTATTTCATCCAAAACCTCTAAAATATCCTCAAAATAACTTCAACCCGCAACAAGCTACGAAATGAAGGTGTATTTTAGACATTTTAAGTGAGGTAGAAGTGTTTTGAGGGATGCACAAAATTTAGGGCGGAGCTGTTTTGTGAAACGGATGGAGTATCACTTTCCGTAATAATAATTAAGAAAAAACGAAAGAAAAATATTTTCATTTTTTGTTCCAAATCATGTGAACCATAATTAAACTTCATTAAATAATAGTGCCTCTACCCGGAGTTTTCGCCCAATTTTAACTTTTTTTATAGTCAAAATTTGTCAAGGAACCAATTCAACAAAAAATTCAAGCTTATTATGTTTGTAGTTCAATAAAAAGGTTATTTATATTTCAGCACACCTCTTAGCTTCATGTGCAGCTGGTATAGTCTTTTTTTACATAAAATATTATTTTATGTAATTAATGTACCCCGAGTATAAAATCAAAGCTAGACAAATATATATTATCTATTACATTTAATTATAGATAAAATGTTATTTTTTATTATCTATTACCCCGAGTATAAAATCAAAGCTAGACAANAGTATATATAACTGCTTCCTGTCGAGGAACACACACACACACACACACACACACACACACACATATATATATATATATAGGGTCCATTATCATATCTATATCCATTAATAATTATCAGTCCAAATTAAAGAAGAAGAAGAAGAAAAGAAAAAAAGAAAAAAGAGAAGTAATTATTAAAATGAAAATGGAGGTGGCGGCGGCGGTTTTCTTTCGTCTTCTTCTTATTCCTCTGGCCGTCTTCTTGCTCGCATCTTCCAGTATGCATTATATTATTATTATATATATATATATTTGCCACTAATTAATTCCATCTTTATCTGTGTTTATGTTACTTTAATTAGTTATTAATTATTTGAACATTTGATGTATGTATGTATGTATGAAGTGATGTTGTCATGGATGGGAGCTGCGGGTGGAGGAGGGTATGATGATGATGATGACGACGACGATGATGATGGGGGTTATGATGATGATGATGATGATGATTATGGTCATCATCATCATGAAGGTTGAATTCATTAATTCCTTGTTCCTACATGGCCGATTGAACATATATACATGCCTTTTTTTTATTATTCATGTGTACTGAGTAAAATTTGTAAAATTAATAATAAATAAATACGGGCTCGATCCCTTTTAATTATATATATCATCAAATTAATTATTATGTATATACATACGTCGTTTTATTTGTTTTAAATTTGACTTTACCCTTTTCTTAATTATTAATTACACTTTTTATCTTGATCCTACACTTAGGGTATAATGTTATTATAATAACTCCCAAATAATATAAAATGAAATTAAATGGTTATTAGGTGAGGACGAAGAAAGGGATGATGATGATGATGATGGGAGTGAGAGATCCACTACTACTTTTGAAGAAGGTCCGTTAGTTGTGTTCTTGCATGGACCACACAACATCCTTTTTACCTTTTTGTTCGTTTTTTTATCAATTTAATTATACCCTTGATTGTTTTTTTTAAAAATAATATTTTCTCGATCGAGTCCACAAACAAAATCTTCTTGCATTATGTTTGGGTTTTTTTGGAGTTCATTTTATTCCCTCCGTCTCAGCTAGTACGTGTACATCAAGTTTGAGTTTTTTTGGAGTTCATTATTATTCTGCATTAACAAAATGAAATAAATTTTCAAAAACTCTCAAATTATTACATTAATATACTCCCTTCGTCATACAAAATGTTTCTGATTTTGACTTCTAAAAATTTGAAAGGGTACGTATTTTGGTGGTGGCTTTCCAACAATGCCTTTGGAGGTGAGGATACAAGTAGATATGATGGGTAGATTAACAGTGAAAAAGTGTGGGTTAAGAATCAGTAGGAATAAAAATGACTTTTTATAGAAATAAGAAATATTGTTTTGGAATACATAAAAAAAGAAATGAGAAAAGTTTTGTAGAACGAAGAGAGTACAATATAGTTTTTTTTATTAATTGAGGTTCAAACATTGTCCAATTTGATCCAAAAAGCAAATTGAACAAAAAATAGTTGGAAGGAAAATAAATAAAATAAAATTTTAGAAATTCTCAATTAGCTACATGGAATTAATAAATCGAGTAAGTGCATGTAGGTGATGATGATGATGAAGAGGAAATGATAAACGTGATTGTTTGGGAGGAGGGTCAAGTAGAATCGGGCCATTGTTGGATCAGGAGGAGGGAGGTGGCGGGCCCGACCCGGGAGAACTTCATGTACCGCCTCCATCTTCAGTGGCACGAGGAGGGCCCAGGCGAGCGGCCCATTCTCCCGTGGCCCGTCTACCTTGACCACCCATGGCCCGGCTATTCTCTCGAGTTCTTGACCGCCGATGACACCACCGTCTTACCGGAGCTTGATTATGACTGGCGGGAGCGGGGCCCACTCATTCGCAAGGTTAATATCACCAAACTTGATCCAGGTAAAAAAACATTTACTCATTGTATTTGGACGATTTTACCATTTAATTAAAATAAAAATTATACTCCTTATAACATATTAATATGAAAGTGATTTCAGAAGATTTATCTTATCAAATACTTTAAGAGTTTATTTCATTGTATTAATATCTAAAAACAAATTTTTTTGTGTAACCGTTAAAAATTAAAATTTACCTTTTTTTTTGTTTCAAATGTACGTAGGTGAGGAGGAAGAAAGTGATGCTGATGATGAGAGCGATGAAGGTACCATATATATGCTTGCTTTTGAATTTTTTTGTTAATTTTTTTTGGTTTTATTGACTTGATGTTAATTCTTTCTTTATAACAATGAGTATTCATATGCTCGAAAAAAAAAGTTACCCCATATTTTTTTAATTAAACGGAAAAAGTGAAATTGAAAATTTTGGTTATATATTTCACCCACATTTTTGTTAAATTTACTTTATTTATCTTAACATGAGGATTTTATCTTTAGAAATAGTTCGCTTACCGGTATTTTGATCCCAGATACATTTGTTCATTTGACATAAATGTTTTTAGAACTTGTTCTCTTCAATTTATTTCTTTAGTTATTACTTATCCTTATATGAATGAATTAGTTCACATATCTAAAAGTTTGTTTGGTACACAAAATTAGTGAAATTTTAGTTGAATTGAAATTGGATATTTATAAAATTGAATTAAACGAAATTGAATTCTCCAATTTTAATTCAGTATTTGCACTACCAATTCTAAAATTACATATTTTTGTGTTACCAAAGTACCAAACAGCAGAAATGAATTAGAATCTCCAATTCTATGACTAGAATTCTGTGTACCAAACGAAGTCTAGATATATTTATAATTAGATAAGATCATATTAGAACTTAATCAAATTAGATACGAACCAAAAAATATGTTAACAAGAATAAACTCTTAGGCTCCATTTGGTACACGAAATTGATATAATTAGAATTTAAATTAAAAATCTATGGAATTCATTACGATGGAATTGAACTCTCCAATTCTAATTCATTTTTGGTATTATCAATTTCAAATCTACATATTTTTGTGTTACCAAACAATAGAATATTAATTCATCTTCCAAATCTCAATTTTATAGTTTGAATTTCTTGTATCGAACAAAATTTTAGTCGAATTGTCTAGATTCAATATAGCAACACTCTTTTTTTTTAAATTAAAAAAAAAGGATCAATTTATTTTAATTCAAAAATTTGCATGTATATGATGTGTTGTAGGTGATGAAGATGATGATGAAGAAATGATAAATGTGATTGTTTGGGAGGACGGCGACAATGAAGACTCGGACCGAAGTTATACCCTGCAGAGCCGGAAGGTGATGGGCCCGACCCGGAACAAACTCATGTACCGCCTCCACCTCCTGTGGCACGGCGAAGATCCATACGAGAGGCCCATTCTCCCCTGGCCCGTCTACGTGGATCACCCCTGGCCCGGTTACTATCTCGAGTTCTGGACAGCTGATGACGTCAGCGTATCCCCTGACCGTCATGATGACTGGACCTTTTGGGGCCCGC